TCCCTTACTAAGCCTCAGTTTCCCCATTTTGACAGTTCGGGCAGGCCCCTTCAGGCTCTCTAGGCACCTACCCCCATCTCCCTTCTCCCTGAACCCTCACTCACAGTAAATTCTCAGTGTCTGCCTCTGCTCCAACCCAAAGACCGCCGACCGTCCAATCGCCAGCCCTCTGCCAGGCTGTGCCCTCTCCTGGGAGGCCCGCCCTAGGCCGTTCTGCGGCCTACTACCCGGGTCTAAGAGGCCAGCTGAACCCTTCTTTCTAGACAGCCCCAGGCAGGTCACTGCTCCCAGCAGCACCCGGCCCTGCAGATAACTGCTCGTGCATCTTGGTTGTTTTCTTTAACGACCGCCTGGCCCTCCCTTTACCCCACTAGCACATCCATTCCATACAGGCAGGGTCGACACTGTGTCCCCGGCTCCAAGTGGCAGGCTTGGCACCCAAGAGGCTCAGCCACCCTTTCGTGAATGAATGAGTGATTATCTGCTTAACAAGGCAGGCTGACAGTCTGATCTATTTCCTCTTAGACACCTGCGGCCCACAGAACACGTCGGCACCCCTTCTGGCCCAGGAGCTGTGAGTTTGAGACCACCGCTCTAAAGCAGGACCCCTGGGGGTGGGGTGGGTTACGAATTGAGCTGCTCACTGCAAGGTCAGCAGTTCGAATCCCCCGGCTGCTCTGAGGGAGAAAGACAGGGCTTTCTACTCCCGTAAAGAGTTACAGTCTCGGACACCCACAGGGGCAGTTCTACCCTGTCCTAGAGGGTCGCTATGAGTTGGAATTGATTTGATAGCAGGAGTTTGGCTCTAAACTGACCCTCACCGCTGCGCAGCCAGCAGGGGGCACTCAAGTTTGTCTAAGGCCAGACCCTCTGAAGGTTCTGCCACCCACCCTGGAAGGAAGCCCCTCCAGAGTCTGGCTCTGGCCTTTCTCCACAAGTCCTATACGGCACTCTCAGACGCCCGGTCTGCTATAAACAGAGGCCCAGTCACCCCGTCCCACCTCCCCTCAG